TTTTTAGTCTGAAACGACATAGGGGCTGTGGCCCTGGAATTCAGGCTTTCGGCCTGATCCGACATGGGGCCTGTAAGCCCTGGATTTCAGGCTTTCGGCCTGAAATTCAGGCTTTTGGCCTGAAGGACGCAGGACCTGAAAAATGGCCCGCGTGTGCACGCGCAGCATGTAACACCCCCCCCTCCTTATGAAGTCAAGCCGGGGCGAGGGTGGAGCCGAGGATCTGAAGGTGGAACTTGGACGCGGGCGTGGCGTGGAGCCGAAGAAACCGGCTTGCCTTGCATCTTGCGTTTGTAGCGTGCGAGAACGTCTGGAGCTGTTGCTTGAAGTTCTGCACGGGTTAACCAACGGTCCACTCGTAGTGTGCAGTATGCAAAATGCACCAAATACTCAGTTGGCTTGTTGCCGTAGCGTCGCTGGGAGATGATGTCGCCGACCTCCGGAAAACCGTCCATAGAAGGTGGGTCTTGCGTACGTCTCGTGGGAAAATCGTCATGTTCCGCTGGCGTGTAGAGAGCCAATTTGGAGCAATGAAAGACTGGGTAGACGTGCAAGTGGCCAGGCAGCTGAATCGTGAAGGAAGGTCCTTCGGGTGCGTCCCCAACGGGCGCTACGATCGGCCAAGGCCCCATCCATTTCGGAAGGAGCTTGCGAGAGATGTCTTGTTCAAGGCTGAACTCCGTTGCGGAAACCCAGACGAGGTCATCGACGCGGAATGGACAAGGAAGACGCTGGCGATTGGCCTGCTGGCTCATGCGCTGCTGCGTCTTAGCCATCTGGTCGCGTGTCTTGACAAGAAGCTCTTGCATGTGACGCAAGAAAAGAAGATGGTCGTCGCTCTCGGCCGTGCGTGGAGTAATAGTGTCCAACGGTGAAGTGACCGGCGAGCCGTGCTCGAACTCGAAAGGCGATATCCCAATAGCCGGGTGGATAGAAGAGTTGTAGGCCAACTCGACGTTCGACAGCCGCTCAACCCAATCCTTCTGGTCGGGGCGGATGAGAGTGTGAAGGAGAACCTGTGCGGTCTGATGCGCCCTCTCCGTCTGGCCATCGGTCTGAGGGTGGCGAGCTGGACTGGGCTTGAAAGATGAGCCCCATCGCTTGATGAGCGCCAACCAAAAATCGAACATGAACCGAGTGTCGCGGTCGCAGACGATCTCCTTGGGGTAACCCTTGGTTCGAATCCAACCTGCGTAAAGAACCTCGGCCAATTCTGGTGCCTTGGCATTATAGCGACAAGGCAAAAACATGGCGAACTTGGTGAGTCGGTCGACCACCGTGAGAATCCCATCCACTCCGGTCTTGTGCTTGGGGAACGACCCGGTAATGTCCATGGCAATCGCTTCCCTTCCCCTCAACGGGACTGGCAATGGTCGTAACTCGCCGTACGGACGATGGTTGCGAGATTTGCAGCATCGACAAACCTCACATGACTCGCAATAGGGCGTGACGTCGCCGAGAAGGCCGGGCCACCAAAATCGCTGGCGAAGTCGGCCAATTGTGCGATTGACTCCAAAGTGTTCAGTGGCGGGAGCATTGTGGAACTCGCCAAGAAGCCGTGTACGCAAGTGAGGATCACTCGGTACGCAAAGAAGGTCCTTCCCCCGCGTGTGGACAAGCAAGTACCCCTCTTGGATCCGGTAGTGAGAATGAGCCGGATTAGGAGAGGAGCAATTCGCGTACTTGTCGCGAAACCCGGGGTCGGCTTGGTAGCCGCGGATGAAGTTGTTCTGCAGGTCATCGTCGATCTTGAAGGTTGAGTAGACCGCGATATAATGATCCGGACGCCGTGAAAGAGCATCCACAAAACGGTTCGAGTTCCCGGGAATGTGATCGGGAAAGAAGTCGAACTGCTCGATGAAAGCCATCCATCGAGCGATGGTGCTGTTGACGGTGTCTTGGGTCTTGTAGAAGACCAGCGGATTGTTATCCGTTACCCAGTGAAATTGGCTTCGACCAAGGAGGAAGTGCCGCCACCGCTTGAGCGCATGGACGAAGGCGAGGAGCTCCTTCTTGCGTGCATCGTCAATGGAATGCACGATGAAGTACTCGACCGGGTGCCAGTCCACACCATCATGTTGCTCGAGGACTGCACCAATGCCATAGCATGACGCATCCGTAGTGACGTGCGTAGGCAAGAGCGGGTCGTACATCCGCAAGACCTCCGCAGACAATAGCGCGGCTTTGAGAGCGAAGAATGATCCTCGCGCCTCCTCTCCGAAATCAAACGGCCGATCCTCGCATTGAAGCTTGTTCAAGTGGGCCGCGATCTTCGAGTAGCCTTTGATGAAGCGATGATAGTAGCCGGCAAGACCGAGGAACGAGTGGACATCCGGGACGTTCTGACGCTCCGACCACTCTTGGATGGCCTGAATCTTGTCCGATAGCGGACTGATGCCCTCCGGTGTGACAAAATGGCCCAAGTATTCCAGCTCTTGCCGGACAAATTCACACTTGTCGCGGTTGGCCTTGTACTTGGCGCGGCGGAGCGTCTCCAACACTCGTCGAAGATGCCCAAGATGATCCTCTAGTGATCGGCTATAGACGAGAATATCGTCTTAGTAGACCAGCACGAACCGGTCCAACATTGCACGAAATTCATTGGTCATTGCCGCCTGAAAGGTCGCCGGGGTGTTGGTGAGGCCAAAAGGCATGACCACCCACTCAAAATGCCCGTACCGCGTCTTGAACGCGGTCTTGTAGCGAGCGTTCGGCTGAATCGAGATTTGATGATATCCCGATTTCAAATCCAACTTAGAAAAATATTTTGCGCCGCCCAATCGCTCAAGAAGATCGTCGATGCGAGGAAGAGGCCCCGCATTCTTGACGGTTTGCGCGTTGAGCTTGCGATAGTCGATACACAGTCGCAGATCCTTGTTCTTCTTCCTGACGAAGAGAACAGGTCCTCCATATGGGGAGCTACTATGGCGGATCCAGCCCTTGGTCAACAAATCGTCGAGTTGTACGCGGAGGACCTCAAGCTCCTCCTCGCTCATCCGATAGATGCAACCTTTTGGCGGCACGGCACCGGCCTCAAGGATGATCTCGTGAGAGATTGGCCGATCCGGCACCACACCGTTAGGTGGCTCGAAGATGTCCGCGAACTCGTCCAGCAACCGCACCACACGGGGTTCCGAAGACAAGTCCGTGGGTGAAGAGTCGGCTACCGCGACGGTCCGCAGGAAACATAGGCCGATCTCCTCGGGCTGCTCGTAAGCGCAAGTCGCCCGGAATGATTTGGCCGTCACCACTTGGCATCGGATGGAAGGGTGCGGTAGAGGAATAGTACACGCCACTTCCGCGCCGAAGGCGTCGCGAACGCTAAGAATCCGCCGATGGAAGTTGAGTGTGTGATCCGCACTTGCAAGCCAAGGCATTCCCAGAATGATGTCGAAGTCCGTGTCGAGAATATCGAATGTCACTGGTTCATATGCATGAGGTGCGAAGTAGACCGGTACGGCCTCGATGTAACGGTCGAGAAGTTGTTGCGTCTTTCAATCCGCCAACTTGATCGCCGTCGGGTTTGCCTTCCTCCGAACTTGTGCACCAAGGCCAGCCTTTTGCATAAAGGACTGGCTCATGAAATTGCGAGACGCGCCGCTATCCAGCAAAGCGCTGTAGGACACTTGCCCAACCTGAATGCGGATATACATGAGCTGTGCGTTGTTGTCATCGTACCGCTGCGTGCGAAACTCGCGGGCCACCTTGGTAGTATACGCCAGGATGTCCCCCACTGCGACTTCGTCATCCGTCGGCGAAGTTGGTGGTGCATAGAAGGATAAGGAAGTGTGGAGATGAGCGCTAAGTGCTGCGCATTGCGGTCCCGGTAAGCGGCCTGTGGTCGGGAGAGGAAGCCATGCAAAGTCCTCGGACGTGAGCGGGTCCAATGCCTCTATGTTGAACTCGCGTGTCGAATCCCGTGAAAAACCACTTGAAGACGATATGTCGTCGTTGCCGGACGGAGAAGAAACCGCACACACTTCTTGTCCTTGAGCTTGAGTACCCAGGGTAGGAACGAGCCGGGCAGCATAGTCCTCAAAAAGAAAGTAGAAGAGGAGGACTATCGACTTCCGCGTGCGCCTCGGAATGAAGGCCGGTTACTCGCGAAGAAACCGGTTTCGAAGGCGTCGAGAGTGTCGTCGAGTCACTTTCGGCGGTGCTCAGTTTCCCTGTCTGCCCTTGCCTTTTAATGGGCAAACCTGCATCTGATGAAGGTCGCTGTTGCAGCAAAGGCAATAGTGGAATCTCTTGTGCGCTTTGAATGCTTGCTCGGAGATGCCATACTGGGACCATGGGCCTGTCTGAGCTGTTGCACCGGGCCCGGGGCTAGATGCGGTGTGTGTCTTCGTCTTGCCGCGTCCTCGGCCTCTGTCGGGGCGGCCACCTTCCCGGGCGGCTGCGAGTGTGTCCCCTTAGCTGGCAGACACAGCCTCGCTGGTTTGGTCAAACGGCGTTGCCGCTGCGACCACGACCACTCTTGGCCGATGCTGGTCCGTGCTCGGGCCTGACGCAGATGAACGGAGGTTCTTGGCCTCCTTGTTCGTGATGATGATCTGCGCGGCCTTGTCAAACAATTTCGCCGTCGTCGTCAAGGTGTCCCCAACATGCGTCAGGGCATTGCTTAATGTCGGACATGACCTTGAGATGAAGTAATGGCGGATGGCTTTGAAGCCCATCTGGATGTCTGGGACTGACGTCAAGCGTTGGTACTTGGCAATCCAGTCCGTACTCGGCAGCGTGCCTTGCTCGAAGACCATGAGCTTGTCCATGGCTTTGATCTCCTGCGGCTCCACCTGGAACCGCTTGTGGCACGCCGCCTTCAGATCATCCCAACTGATCTTGGTGTGCAAGTTGTTGGCTACCACTCCGTACTTGGACAACAGGTTGTCCAACCAAGCCTGGCACGCGCCCCCTGAGCGAGAGTACAAGTATGTGTGGTGCTTGTGTTCCTTGACGTTGTGGAGCTGCAGCGTGAGCTCGAACTTGCGAAACCATGGAACCGGATCTGTCTTCATTGAGTCGCAGACGATCTCCCGCCCATCGAACTTTGGAGCTGTCTCGCGTGGTTCCTAACTCGAGATGTTGGCGGTAGTGCAGATCCGTTGTTGCAACTGTTGCATCGCGGTCTGCTGTAATTGCATGCCATCCTTGAGTGAGCCTACGTCCATCTCCAATGCGTTGAGGCGGTCGGAAGTATTGGAAGAGCTTGCATCGGCGGCGGCGGCTGGTCTCTGCTCCAACCGCTGAAGGCGGTCTTGGAAGTGAGCTAGCGAGTTGTTGAGACCATGGATCTCCTCCTGCTGTGTAATGCAGGTTGCTAGGAGGTCTGTGAGATGCGAGAGGAGGAGCGCTATCTTGTTTGTGCTATCCTCCAGCTTGCTATTCTCGGCCTCGGTCCGCCATTCAGCTGCCGTTGTAAGTAACGCCTGCTCTCCGGTAAATATCTTCTCACGACGTTGGTGTCTTTCTTCATCGGCAGCCCTTGCTGCTCCCTCGTCATGCTGGCGCTGTTGTTCAATTGTCAGCAGACGTGCCTGCTCGGCATCCTCTGCCTTCTTCTTTGCTGCTGCGGCAGCGTCATCTGCCCGTTTCTTTGTCTCGGTACTCCAGGCCAGCATGCGGGCCTGATAGGCCTCGTCTGCTTCTCTGGGCCTCTGGTCCATGACTGCTGTATGTGAACGCAACAGCATAGACCAGGCCGGGGCCTGCTGGTGTGGTATCCTTTGCTGCTGACGTGGCACTGCTGACGTGGCCTGCTGACGTAGCCTGCTGACATGGCCTGCTGACGTACTGACGTAGTCTGCTGACGTGGTCTGCTGACGTGGTCTGCTGACATGGCCTGCTGACGCGGCAACTCACCAATGCCGCCGCAGGGGGTACCTGGAGACGAGCAGAGAAGATAAGGCGAGAGATGGCAACAACATTGGTGGGGAGGGGTGGGTGGGATAATCGCCCAACTAATCACTCAGATAGGGAGCCACTAATCAAAAAAAAAAAGTTTGAACTTTGCAGAAAAGTTTCGAGAAAAACAAAAATCCCGATTTTTTGCAAGTTCGGTAGGTCTCCCAACCTCCCTTGAACTACGAAATGATCACTGACAGAAAAAAATTTCGACTTCAGACTGCAAATGATTTATAGAACTGAACGACAGAATCCTAGAACTGCGAAAAAAAAAAAAAAAATTCCGGAGAGAACTGACAAGTATTCGGAATTTATTCACAGAATATTCGCAGTTTGGAAAATAATACCGCAGGAGGGATTTCCCGTACCGTTTTCAGAAAAAAACGAATTTCGGAAAAGAAGATATTCCGAGTTTCTGAGTAACGGGAAATGCAACAGGAAATCGAAATTTTCAAAAAGAAAAATATTCCGGATTTTCAACAACGAAATTTCGAAATTTCAGAGAAAAAAAAAACGAAAATGGGAATTTCAGATGTTGTGATATTGCGATTTTCCACAACAGAATAGCGAGAAAACAAAATCCACGAAAAGAAAAAAAAATTAAATTTTCGGTAGTAAGGTCAAAATCGTGATTTTGGGGTCTAACTAGTGTGCTCTAATCAATCAATAAAGACTAACTAGCTATTTAGTCCCCGCACACGTGTCAGATCAGGTTGTCCTGATTCACGTGCGATGCTCCGATACCAACTGTTACATGCACAGATATGCAATGTACGTAATAACCGAGGATCTGCAATGTGATGAAAAGGACTGAATGGACAATGCGGTGCGAATAGAATCTCG